CTTCCTGAAAGCAGAGAAGAAACCCAAACAGGACTCCAGTCAGCCAACAGGTGAAAAGGAGGAACCCAGACCCAGACCAGTGGTCATTCCGTATGTTGAGGGAGTATCAGAGAAACTGAGACGTTTATTTTCTAAACATAACGTCCCAGTGGCTTTTAAACCCCAAAATACATTACGGCAAAGACTGGTTCATCCCAAAGATCCAGTCCCCCGGCACAAACAGAGTAATGTTGTGTATGCTGTTCAGTGTCAGGAGGGCTGTGATCAGTCTTACATCGGGGAAACTAAACAGCCACTGGCCAAAAGGATGGCCCAGCACAGAAGATCAACATCATCAGGCCAGGATTCTGCGGTCTACACTCATCTCCAGGCCAGCGGTCACTCTTTCAAGGATGAAGATGTTCACATCCTGGACAGAGAGGAACGATGGTTTGAGGGAGGAGTAAAGGAGGCCATCTTTGTGAAAAGAAATCGTCCATCGTTAAACAGGGGTGGAGGCCTCTGGGTTCAACTGTCCCCCTCTTACAATGCTGTGATTGCTAGTATCACTCAGCCCTCTGTGAGTAGTAAACAGCCATCAGTGTGCTAATGATCCATTGCTAGGCTGATGGTCCTTCTTGAGCATGGGATCAGCTGGTTTTGGTTGTCAGCAGCAAACTGGTTGATCCACTCTAAGAAGGTGCTATTTAAGAGACTGAGCTGAAAACAGCACCTCAGACTGAGGAAGTCTCTCGGATGAGTGACGAAACGTTTCTATATTTTTTTGCTTTGTTTTGTTTTTTGTTTTTTTTTGAATGTCCAGAGGACCAGATTGAACTTTTTTGGATCTTTTGAATTTTCTATATTTCTACATAAATATAACCTAAAACATCATCAGATTTTCACACAAGTCCTAAAAATAGATAAAGAGAACCCAGTTAAACGAACAAGACAAAAACATTATAACTGGCCATTTATTTATTGAGAAAAATGATGCAATATTACATATTTGTGAGTGGCAAAAGTACAGTATGTGAACCTCTAGGATTAACAGTTACTGTATTTTTCGGACCATAAGGTGCACTTTAAATCCTTTAATTGTCTCAAAAATCAACAGTGAGTCTTATAATCCGGTGCACCTTATGTATTAATCCTGGTTGTGTTTACTGACCTCAAACTAATTTTATGTGGTACATGGTGCACAAAAATCTGTCAAAATGAACTTGTTTTGCTTAATGAACTTTATGTATAAAAACAGAACCCTTCATTGATATTGCGCCTTATAATCTGAAAAATACGGTAATTTGAAGGTGAAATTAGAGTCAGGTTCTTTAATCAATGGGATGATGATCAGGTGTGAGTGGGTACCCAGTTTGATTTTTAGAACAAATTCAAAATAAAAAATAAAAAAACAGTTTCAAAGGGTTTCATGCTCCGCTGGATGCTTGGACACGCTGCTGCGTTCGCTTGCCTCCATGGCTTGGACCCTTAAAAAAAGAGGGAAAAGTTGCACAGCTTCATACTTTATGTGATCCTATAAATCTTGTTTTTTTTTGTGTACTACAATTAAATGTCTACATGATGAGTGAAATAAACATAAATCTCTAAGAACTTGTAAAATATCTAAACAACTTGTAAATTTCTTCAGTATCTTTTACTCTTGACCCGCAGCCGTTCAACATTCCTGCTTGCTTATTGGGCAGAAAGATGCTGAAAGCCATGAGCGTGACACTGACTGTTTGCTTCAGCTGCCACACAGGTGTGTGGATTCAGTGGGGTTGTCCCCCCCCCCCCCCCCCCCCCCACACACACACACACACACACAGGCCACAGGACTCTACCTATTTCAGGTCACATTCAGCTTCATAAGCATCATTTTCTTTCTTCATTCTAGTTGTTTTCCGTATGTTTTCTTCAACTCCGGCACTACAGCAGTGCTTGTTTCTTTTACTTTTAACAAGTTAAAGGAACTTGATGTTTTCTCACCACCTCAGGACCCAGTCTTATTCAACCAAGCTCTCATGACCTGCTCCAAAAAATAAAAATCATTGAGGTTCTGAATAAAAACTGTGACTACAAGCTGTTTCATCCTTCAGAGCTTTTGTTTCATTAAACACCCATGATGCTTGGTTTATAGGGAAGTAAAAGTCACTCCTAATGTTAAAATAGCACCCCTTTAAATATTGCAGGCCGTTCAGAGTTTGGCAACAGAATGAATGCAGTGTTTTCAGTGTGAACATTCCCAGATGTTGTAAACTGAGGGAAATCACTCAATTAGCTAGTAAAACACATCCAAGACAGCTGAGTAACATTTACCTGAAGGGGGGAATATTTTGAGCAGCAACTTTTTTTTGTGGCATTTTCTCTTTTCTTTTTATTAGCATTGCAAGTGTTTATTGGCAAATAAATGTTCCTCTTCAATTTGCCTCCTCACTTTCAGTGCTCAGTCCATTATTACATTTGCAGGCATACAAAATAAAGCAAATCTGTGTCTTCAGTCGTAAATTATGCTGTGTATCGCTTCAGACAAAGCTCTTTGTGATTATAATGAAATATAAATGCAGAAAATATAGTTGTGTGTGCAAAACAGCTGGACTGTCATCATCACATGTATCTGATCGGAGTCATTATTTTGAGAGCTGAAAAATACTTTATCTTGTTTAATTGTTTACACATTGGAGAGCAGGTTTAACCAACAAATTAAAATTAAATAACAAGAACAGCACCGACTGCTTCACTGAAGATTTTTAATGACATCATTGAAGCACTGGATTTTTTCATTCAACCTTTATTTAGACAGATAAATCACATTTAGCCACGAAGACTCATTTACAAGTGAGATCTGCTTAGACAGACAAAAAGTAGTGAAAATGGAACATGTAGGAATTGGAGGCAAAACAATTCCTATTAAACTTTTTCTTCTTGGCTGACAAGAAAAACTCTAATATTAAAAAAACACCTCGCACATAAAGCACATAGTGATGTAGACATTCCACAAAGGAGTGGGAGAGACGACGAAAGTGGTGAGCAATGTTCAAAGATGCACTTGAGGACTCTGTAAGAGTTCTGATAAGGATGTAATAATCAACCAGTTCCCTCCAGTGAGATCCGTAAACATTCTCAAGTGATGTCGGGGAATGGCCAAGGGCAACACCTATGGGAATCCAAGAGTCCTGAAATGACGACACAATGTTTATTCATCTGGTTTCATCTGGTTGTTAGTTGGAAATTCTTCGATGGGAGGAGCAGAGCGTCAGATCACATGTTCTCCAGGCGTATTCAGATAAGATGGCCTTCAAGGCCAGCCGGGGGAGCCAAATTCAGATAAACACACAGTTGTTTTGGGGACAGGCAGAAATGAATGACATCTACCTTGAGTCTGTGTTGGTCCAAACGGTTCCAAAATGTCCAAATTACATGGCCACTCTGATGGCACGTGCCTGAGTAAAAACAGGATTATTGTGCTGCACTTTTCTTAGATCTGTCTAAAGCTTTTGACACTGTGGATCATGACATCTTGTGTCATGAGCTCTCAGAAAATGGTTTCTCAGATCACACTATTGATTGGTTCTCTAACTATTTTTCAGATCTGAGGCAATGTGTTCAACATAATGGTACTTCCTCCAGTTATTTAACAGTCAACAATGTTGTAGCAAGAGGCTCAGTCTTAGGACCCACCCTCTTTACAATCTACATAAGTAATGTATGTCAGAGCATCCCTGATGCATCCATACATTTCTATGCTGATGATACTGTTGTTTATTGTCGAGCTAAAACTGTTGCTAAGGCTCTCCGACTTTTGCAGTCCGCCTTTGACATCATCCAGTCTGATTTGTTCCATCTCAAACTTGTCCTAAATGCCAATAAAAGCAAAGGGATGTTTTTTTTCCAAACAGGAAGTTGGTCCCAGCAGTTCTTCCTCTGATTTTATTCTCAAATGGTGTCCCTATTGAGTTTGTTGATTCCTATAAATATTTGGGTATCTTGGTTGATTCACATCTCTCTTTTAAGCTTCACGTGGAAAACCTAGTAAAGAAACTGAAAGTTAAACTGGGTTTCTTTTTCAGAAACAGATCCTGTCTAACTCTGAATGCTAGGAAGCGCCTTGTAACTGCAACTTTCCTTCCCTCCATTGATTACGATGACATTATTTACATGAACGCTCCTACAAGCACCCTGCAGATGCTGGACGCTGTCTATCACAGTGCTCTAAGATTCATGACTGGCTGTAACTACCGTACCCACCACTGCACCCTGTGTTCACTGGTTAACTGGACATCATTAATTTCACACAGACTCTCTCACTGGTACATTTTCATCTTTAAATCACTTCTTGGTCTGCTGCCTTCATACATCTCCTCCTACATGTCTCTGCGTGAGTGCAGCTACAGCGTGCGCCCTCAGGACATTATTACCTGCAGTGAACTAGGCAAAAGGGCCTTCTCCTACTCCGCTCCTGTTTCCTGGAATATCTTGCAAAAAGATCTGAAGCTCTCGACCTTGACCTCTCTAAGCGGCTTTAAGCATCTGTTGCACTCCTGGCAAGAACCAATGCATACATGTTCCTGTTCTTAGAGTTCTACATTGCCTTATAATCTAGCTGTTTTTGCTACTTTTTTTTGGCCATCTTATTTTAATTTCTTTTTAAAAACATCTGGATGCCTCTTTTATGATCGTCTATTGTTGTTGTTGTTGTCCACTGTTGTCATCAGGCTTTGTTAAAATCAGGTCTCTCTTGTAAATGAATCCTCGAGGCTCAGTGGGATTAACCCGTTTACAGGTTGAATGAATAAAATTAAATAAGATAAACAGTAAGCTTGACTTACTGTTATTTGATTGATTTAATTGACAGATTTAAGGAACTTAGGAGAAAGTGTTGCACATTTTAAGTTTATAATCTTTTATTCTGTTTTGGTGTAATAAAGTGCTGTTTAAAACCAAGATTCATGTTTAGTTAGCCTTTCTAGTCAAAATGGCTTTAAAGTGTGAGAGATAAACTTTGTTGCATCTTTCCCCGACAGATGTGAACGAATGTGAGGAAACCAATGGAGGTTGTGAGGCTCTCTGCTGTAACACCATGGGGAGTTTTTACTGCAGGTGTCCAGAGGGGCAGAAACTGAATGAGGACGGCAAAACATGTCAAGGTTTGTTTTTGAACTCTCATATTTTTAATTGATTTTTTTTTTTTTTTTTAAACCTTGTAAACCAACAAAATCAAAGTTCAAACACAACAAATCTGAACCACAATGATGCCATTGTGCTGCTTTGATCAAATTATATTGTATTTTGTCTATTTCACACAAAGCAAGCTGGAATCATCTCATCTTTTTAAAACTTTTGAATAACTCTTGTCTTTGAAAGATTGATTGGCATCACCGAGTTTCCTTTATTTTCTATTTGCTGTATGTGGCCATGTTGTCAGGAATTCCCTATGGAAAAGTTTGGCCCCTCACTTAATGAACATGAAAAAAACGAAAACAAGCTACAGTACTTCAGTGAAGCTCCAGATAATTTTAACTTGTGCGCTGAAACAAATTTCATCTATGCTTTGAGACTGATGTGAGTCTAGGCCCACTTTTCTTGACAGTTTCCCACGAGACTTATTATAGCCCCATCAACGTGTCTGATTGTGGAATCTCATGTGAGTGATTGATTTAATCAGTGATGATTCATCGGTGCAGCTGCCAACCCTGCAGGAGAGTAGAGTCAGGCTTCCAGTGCAGTCCTATAACTATAGGATTTACTTTCAGCATGTCCCAGGTCTTACCAGAAAACAGAGAAAAGAAAGCAAAGCAAAAAAAACAACAACGTGTTTTCAGACTCTGTCCTATGTTGTATCAGCGTAACTGTATTTAAAAGATGGACATGCTCATGATGTTCCCTTCTGATACATCAAGCTTTAAACTTGGGCTTTAGCCATCAATGTCTTGTTTTTTGAGTTTCTGGCTGTAGCATCAAACAGCTAAGCAAGATCTTTATGTTGATAAGTCATTAGACACATAAGATTGTGAACCCCAAGTTACTTTCAATAAGAGCACATTTAAATATATTTGGCTGTATAACTGCGCAATATTAACTGTATGTTGTATATAAATTGACACAGAGGTTAGAGAAGGTGGGCCTGTGATTGGAAGATCCCCAGTTTGACTCTCTGGACTGACGACATCAGAACGTGGATGGGAAAGATGAAACATCCACACCACTCTGGGCCCTTGAGCAAGGCCCTTAACCCCCACCATCTGCTCCCCTGGGCACCATATGGCAGCTCTCTGCTCCACACATAAAGCTATGGTAGCTCGGTGGTCTCTGGTTGCGTCAGAAAGGGCATCGGCGTAAAGAAAAGAAAATAATTGGCAAGTCTTTGTGCAAGTTAGTTCACTGTGGCAACTCCTAAAAAAGGAAGCAGCCGAAAGAAGAAAATGATTTATATATAAATTATGTAACTTTTCAGTCACAAAGTAGCCCACCACTAAAACATGCAAAGTTTTTTTTTTTTTTTTTTTTTTACAACATACAAAGGAAAATCAGTTTTATCAAATGTACCTCTTTTTTTAAATAGACAAAAGACTTTAACATTGGAATTATAGCCATAAGCTAGTAAAAATATATACCGTATTTTCCGTCGTATAAGTCGCTCCGGACTATGAGTTGCATCAGACCAAAAAAAGCATCATGAACAGGAAAAAAACATATATAAGCTTTTATTATTGGTTTATTTATGTCAGGATTTGAGGTCAGGGACGAATCCAGTTGTGCAGACAGGACTCAACTCGGCAGATTACAAAAAATAAATATTTTAATGATGAATAAAGTTACAAAATAACAAGCTGACAGGGCAGCAAAACTTACATGAAACAGAAGGCTCAAGGGGAAAACTCAGAAAGGACTCAGGAAGCTCAGGGAAGACTCAGGAGACGCAGGAGAACACTGGATACCCAACGAGTACGACGCGACAAGGAACAAGAGTGAACAGACGGCTTATATACAGGGACAAGACGAGACGTGATTACAAACAGCTGTGACGAGACAAGGGTGGCACCAATTAAACTAAAGAGAAAACACTAGGGAAACACAGACACAAACCGAGCCACCAAATGGTACCATCCTTACAATTTAATGGTCAAAACAGCTTCATTTCACCTGGGCAGCACGGTGCCATCCATCCATCCATCCATCCATCCATCCATCCATCCATCCATCCATCCATCCATCGCAGCTGGAGCCGCTAGCTCTCCAGCGTTCCTCCGCCTGCACCAGCTGAGTGAAGCGAGCATGCACAAGAGGACTCACTGTTGCAGTTCTTAGAAATTTAAAGCGTCAGTTAAAAATTGCATTATGAATATGGAAGAAAAAAAACGTATATAAGTCATTTTGACGTATAAGTCACAGGACTGACAAATCTATGCAAAAAAATGTGACTTATACGCCGGAAAATACAATAAATATATTTTCCCTTTTGTGCACATTTTGTAGTTTTTCATGATGTTTGAAAGTCACACTTAATGAAACTACCACAGTAAAAACAATGCAATGAATTTACAGATGATTTGATGTGAAAAGTGGCTAAAAAAGGCAACCAAAAAAAAAAAAAAAAACCCCACAAAGTTTTGAGTCTGGAATTTCAAAATAGAAACAGTGCAGGAACCTGAACAGCTGTCTGCTGGAAGAACTCAGTGAGAGATCTGATCTGAGACTCACGCTGATGTGAACGTTGTCACAGCTGGTTTTCATAGCTGCCCTCTGCCTCTGGTGTGTGTGTCTATTAGAGGAAAACTGCTACCTGCAGAATGAATGCTCTAATTGTCTGTAACTGGCTGGAATATGAACCGTTGTATTTATTGTTGTTTACTTCTTCAGATGCAGATGTGTTGCTGCATCTGCAGAAAGCCATACTATTTTTTTAAAGATCACATTAGAGCCAACATTCATTTCTGTCACGGTCAGCGGCCCCCGCTGCCCCCCTCATCTGCCAAGCCTCTGCCACCTCCTTCAAGCTGCAACCAAGAAACCAACTGTCACGGTCAGCGGTCCCCGCTGCCCCCCCCCATCTGCCTAAGCCTCTGCTCCTTGTGTGTCTTCTGCTTTTGTGTATCTGTTCCTGTTATCTCACAAACTAAATCATTTCCTTCTTTTTCAAGGTGCTTTGTAAATGTGTCACTTTAATTCTGAGTTCTGTTTGACTGGTTCTGTCTCTGTCTGCTTTTTATGTTTTTTGTTGTTCTGCTCTGGGTGTGATTTTCTGTTTATCTGATTCTGTTATTTTTCCACTCATTCCTCAGTCTGCTTCTCCACTCTGTCTTTATCATTCACACCTGTCCCTCATCAGCCACTTGCCCAGGTGCTCTCGTTACTAACTCTCCCTCTGTCACATAAAAAGCCTTTCTTTCCTTCACTCCTTGTCCGGTGATTGTTCCATGTACTCAGACATCACAATCCTCTTCTGCCTTGTCTGTTTTCTGCTACCCTGATGATCTGCTCTGCACTATCCAATCTGCTAAAAGTAAGTTTTGCTGCACCGACAGCCTTTTGTTTTGTGGTTAAAAGAATAAATTGTTTTGATTTTTGAACTCCTGCCTCACTCATCTCTCTGCAATTGGGTTCCAACATTGAGGTTCGTGACACATTTCATTACCAGTTAAGATAAATAACTCTCCGGTGGACTTTACAAACCACATCACACTTTGAAGAATCCTGTCTTTGGAGTTGTTACATGTTTGCAATGTGACATTTTACTTTGGGATGTTGACATTCAGAAAACAAAAAAAGCTGAACAAATACAGCTTAAAGGAAATGAAACGTCTCAAACTTTTGGGAATCCAAGCAAAGTTTTGTTTTTAGCTAATAATTTATTTATTTGCTTTGACTGAAGCATTGCCACGCCAATCAAAGCAGAAGAGGCCATCAGTAACAGCTGTTTCACCGAGGGGTCGAGCAGCAGTGTCAACATTTCGCCGTCACGTCAAACAGACTTTACAGCTCAGCTGTAAAGCCTGAAGCTCTGCCAACATCTGGCACGTGTCGCAATAAAGATTTGTAACCAAAATCAACATATAGTTGCTTTTATAAACTCTGAGATGAGGATAGTAGCAAAAAAGACTGCTATTAAAGACAAAAACATCTTTTTCGCTTTTCTCTTTGACTCTTCATCCTCATTTCTCTTCATTTCCAGTAAGTTGACACGCTTAGTTCTTTATTTGTATTTGAGCAGACAACTTTTATTCCGCCCAGTTGGTATCATTGTCCACATTATTCCAGTTGCTTACAATTTATTTGTGTGTGTGCATGTACAAAGTTGTAAGTGCGTTGTGCGATGTCACAGGAACTATTTTTGTGGCTCTGAGCTGCATTATTAAAACAAGAAAAGTTGAGCTCAGTCATTTTGTGATGCATATCTCCATGGGACATTTACCTGCAGGCCACTTCTTTTCGAATCAATGAGAAGATGTTGAACAAGAACACTTTATTTTGTTTTATAAGTTCTATAAAGTGCTGCTGTAATCCTGCTGCTCTGTTTGTATGACTTGGCACAAGATGTGAGAGCATAGTGCTTAGCTTCAAATAGACTTCTCCCCTCTAAGGATCATTCCTTTCACAGCTGTTTGGATGAAAAAACATTATACTTGACTTCTGGCATTCATTGAATATGGCATTTCTTTAGTGGCCTTTTTTTAAGAATCCGTGTCAATATCAAAAGAAAGCTGTGGTCAGCACATTCTTCAGTCTGCTCACATTCTTTGCTCTGTCGGTCTGTGCCCAAATAAATCCTCACCTTGAATCACATGGTGTTCTTTTGAAGAAACTGTAAATTACCAAAGCGTGGTAATGAAATGCCATGAATCAGTAAAAGAAAGAAATCCATCTGTGTCGGCTGGTGAAATGAAAAATTATTCATTTGTACTTTATACAGAAATTGAGAGAAAAAGGTAAAGATGGGAGTGAAAGAGGAGGGCCTTTAATTTAGTTATGTTAGATGGGAGGGTAAAACAGAGGAGATGGAAAAGGGGGAGGCAGAGGGAATAAGAAGTACTTAACATAATATTCCAGCCTGAAAATCTTCACAGGAGAATAGGTCATTCATATAAGTAGGTCTTAAATAATAAAATACTTTTTATAACATTTTGTAAGAAGCCAACTTCCAGGCATGGCATCAGGATGGTGGGTTGTCTTTCTGGTGGTCAGTAAAGCTATGGCATGTCTAGCTACAAACTACCCGTACAACTACTATAGACGAACTTGCTACAGGCCTTACTGTTTCCATGGATACCACAGGTACAACTTTGGCTACCTGGCAACAACAGGTAATGATTTCACAACCAAACAGCTGTATCAGTGATAGCAGCATTGATTCAACTGTATTAACATTTGTTGTATTACAATTTATTTGGAATGTAATCTGTTGTTAGACTCTTAATTATTTGCTGGTTTTTTTCATACAAACAAACAGAGAATATTTGAATTGCTAAGATGAATGATGCAACATACCAGATATATTTGTGATTTTTGTCAGTATTTTTTATACCATATTTTTCGGACTATAAGGCGCACTTAAAATCCTTTAGTTTTCTCAAAATTCGACTGTGAGCCTTATAATCCAGTGCGCCTTCTGTATTAATTCTGGTTGTGATTACTGACCTCGAACCGATTTTATGTGGTAATACTGAACAATGTTGAGAGTTATTGTGAATGAGTTGAATAAAGTTGGACTTTTCTGACTGTTTTGTTTCGCTTAATGCGTCTTATAATCCGATGCGCCTTAGTCCAAAAAATATGGTAAAAAAAAAAAAAAACATCTGTGCAGCATGGCTACAATGCTAATGCTGAAGCGTCTTTGGCCTTTGGGCAAGACATTGCACCCTCACTGACTTGATTATTGGAAAAGTGAGAATTTATAAAGTACTGAATACAGTGTGTAATAAAAGCAGTATGGGTCTGTGTGAAAGGGTGAATGAGAAACTGTAAAGTACTTTGTTGAACATGGAGAGGTTATAAAGATGCTATAAGTGTGGATCATATTTGTTAGCTTTTTGGTACTTTTAGCTTCTTAGCTTTGAGCTTTTAGCTAGCATTTTGATACTTTTGGTTTGTGGCTCACATGTTGCTTCTTTGAGGTTTAGCTATAGTTCGGCTTTTATTTTTAGCTTTAAGAACAAAGTTCCAGATTTTTCAGCAAATTACAGCAAAGTCATTCAGCACTCAACTGCATTTTTGCAGAAAATTCAGTTCCCATGTTTTGCTGCTGTTCTTTCTGGTCCTAAATGCGATTTTTGGCTTTTTGGAGAAAAGTCAAGACTTTTCTGAAGAGAAAAAAAAACAAAAACTACTGTACACAATAAACACTTGTAAACTGACATGCTATATATATTTTTTTTTTCATGGAGTCAACTCAGGTTTTTAGGCAGGACTTTAATGAACTCAACATAAAAGCTAGAGGCTGCTGAGGTTTTGGCTCAAGTTTGGCAGAGATCATGTTCTGGAGGTGGAAACTAAGCTGGAGGGAATCCGCCGACTTCGAGCTGCAGCCGACAGAGTAACAGCAGCTCCGCAGTGCTGTACTCATTACGGGGAAAAGCAAACCAAAACCGACATGCTCCATTGATGGAAAACTGAATGGAAGGCTCCTGCCAGCTTTCCTGGTTGAAGAGAAGCTGCAGTCTGGCGGCTAAGAAACCAAGAGGAGGAAAGTAAAGCAGTCTGTTTCTGCTCCAAACAATATATTTGAAGATGCTGCAGGGTATTAGCATGAAGTTTAGCCAAAGGTTTTGCAGGAGCCATTATGAATATAGTTTTCTGCTTGTGTCATGCATTTTTGTCTCACCACAGTGCTGACCATTTTATTATTAGGTGCATTTTTTTAAAATCATTTCATATGATTTTATGTTACAAACCTTTTTTTCCCCAGTTTCTATTGTAATATCAAGGTGACATCAATTGGGCCTTGCACATACCTGATTTATGTCAAAATATCAAGTACACACGATAACCTTCAGATGGAAATGTTTAATTTACAAGCAGAGTGATGCTTCCATCCCACACAAAGTAACAGAAGCCACTTGAAGGCCAAGTTTTCTGCCTTTGTTACAGACACTTCTTTCTATATTTATATCTCTATGAACTGATTAAAGGATTGTCTTTACTGCTATAATCTATATGTTTACTCAATGAAACATGTTGTCTTTGCGCCCTCAGGTCTTTTAGTTGTAGTTTCTTACAGTTTATTGTTTTTTTTTTTCATTTAAACAGTTTTAGACAGTTTTTGAATTGTTCACATAAGTGCCTAAATATATATATATACATATATATATATATATATATATTTTTTTTTTTTTTTGTCTGATGGAGGCTTCTGATGGTGATCCAGAATTAAATTCAAAATCTTACTTCTAATCTACAAAGCTCTCAACAACCTAGCTCCATCTTATATTCGAAATCTTGGTGTTCCATATTTTCCCAACATAGCACTTGGCTCAGACTACAGTTTCCAAAAGCAGAATGGGAGGAAGCTCTTTCAGTTATCAGGCTCCTCTCTTGTGGAACCAACTTCCTGTTTCTGTCCATAGGGCTGACACAGTGTCCAGTTTAAAGACTGGGCTTATGACTTTCCTTTTTGATAAATCCTATAGTTAGGGTTGGCTTGTTATGCTGCCATAGGCTTACACTTCTCGAGGACAAATTGACCTAATTTCCTTAAATTAATTGATAAAATTGAATAGTTTTCATTTGATATTATTTCGATCTTAACATGATTCTCGACCTGCCATTGTGTATCTGTTCCTCTCAAACCCAGTTGGTCGAAGCAGATGACCGCTTGTCCTGAGTCTGGTTCTGCTAAAGGTTTCTTCCTCATGAGGGAGTTTTTCCTTTCCACTGTCGCCTCCATGCTTGCTCAAGATGAGAGTTCTGCAATGAAGTTAAATTCAAAGCAGTCTGCTCCTCGGATAAATAATGTTATTAACTTACTTTTAAGTATATGAATGTTTCTGTTCGGGGCCCTGAGATGACTTCTGTTGTGACTTGGCGCTATATAAATAAACTGAATTGAATTGATTTGTCAAAGGTTCCTTTCAACGAGACAATCAAAAGCAAAAGCAATTATATAAGTGTTATTTTTCCTTTAGTAGTGATGATAATCAGCTCATTCATTGAACTTTTATTTAACATGTTTTTTTTTCCCACCAGACTTTTAGTGAATTCTTGAAATAGTTTCCTGCTGAAAGTAGCTGCCTAAGGTCAGGACTGTTCTGCGCACCTCACACCAGACAGACTAACTGAGTTTTATGAAGTGATAGCTGTTTTTACAGACATCAACCAAAAGCTAAAGCAGTTTCTTGCTCACTGTTTTTATGCATCACATCACTTGTTGCAGCCATTATGTCCACATTGATCATTTTCTCAGCGTTGAAGCAAATAGGGGACTTGTCACCAGCGTGAAGTTGAAATGGTTTGACCCAATGTCCCAATTATCTTGGACTCAAAGTCCAAACAGAGAAAAGCTTAATAAATCAGCTCATATCTCACAGGGGGTCCACTGCAGAGCTCTCAAACAATGTATTAGTCTTTGACCCCTGAAATTACTACTGTCTAGGAACGTGGTTTGTTTGATTGGAAACCTGTTCACACAGTGAGGGCGTCGGGTTTCATTTACCATGACTTTCATAAATAAAGAGCCTACTTCTCTTATTTGTTTATGCTCGTCGACACCCTCGGTGGGGAGGAATGTGTATGTTTTATATCCTTTGATTCAACTTTCCATGTGGGCTTTGACAAAAACGGCAGGAATTTTAATTAGGTTTTAAGTGTTCAATAGTTGTTGCCATATGGGGAAAATGTTTGTTTGAGCTGCAGTGTACTTGTAAACCCTCCACTCCTCTCTTCATCCATCATCTCCTCTCTGCCAGGGGTACATCTTCATCCTAAGGTCTGCATTATTAAAATACTTGGCAGTTCTTTTGGGCCTAACTTTTTCATAAAGACTAGATTTAGTCTAATTGCACTCATGTCCTTTCCGTTTCTTTTCTATTTGCCCCCTTCTTCTTAGATATTGATGAATGCCAGGTTCATAATGGAGGCTGCCAGCACAGATGTATTAACACCAGGGGATCCTACTACTGCGAATGCCTTCCCGGCTCTCGCCTTCACGTGGACGCACGCACCTGCCTTTGTGAGTAAACGTATCAACTTTGTGGCAGCAATTGCTTTATGAAAGCTTGTAACTGTATATTGAAAGACAATGGCAGATTCACAGAACAGTGTTGTTTCTGGAGGTAAATATCAGTAAAACCACTAGCACTGCCTAAAAACACAGAATAGAAGAAAATATGTACAAGCAGCTCAAGTTACATCAATTGAAATGTGATAATCATATAATTTGTGGTCTATTCCCTCATTTAATCCAATTAGGCCTCAATAGAAAGCCCTTCAGTGGCTCTTTGAATTACAATCTCACTTCTCAACACTCACGTAAACAATGAAACACTGTTTTGGAGGGATTTGGCTTCTGGAGGGGATTGAAACCATACCCAGAAATTGTTCCTTGTTAATTTTTCAGAAGAAACTATTATATTTTGGGGCCTAGTCTCATCTGAAACAATGACAACTGTTGTAGACAGCCACTTTAATTGTGACAGGACATGCTAAGGTTTGGTAAGGTTACTTTCTCTATTTTTCAGCTGTGGGTGTATCAACAAACAAACATCCTTTCTTAGGATTGCTACAACTGATGATTATGTTCTTCTTATTGTAATTTAGATTTTTCTTATTAGTAACAGTTTGGTATATAACTACACACACACACACACACACACACACACACACACACACAGGTTTGTTTTGCTATCTTTGTGGGGCCTTTGCATTGACTTCCATTCATTTTTCATTCATTTCTATAG